TACAGCGCAAGTCTACCGTCACTTAAGATGCCGTCTCTGTGCCACTACACTGTGGAGCATAATCGGAATCGGAATCGCCAGTCGAACTGTCTTATGTCTTAGCTGTTTTCCACGTCACGAAGGGCTTACGATTTTGATCTAGAGTTCCAATTCCTTATCAGCAATGGACATCGTGAACATCTTGCCCTCAGCGTGTCTTCATGGCTTCTTTGGTCGTGAATAGTGTGTTGGTGGTTTTGAACAATTTCTATCAATTACTAGTCTCTCGTGTGTTGGAGGTACTTCTGCACCCTCCCAAGGGCTAGTGGTGTTCCTACTTCAGTCCAAAACGGAGGCCAGTTATGTGTGAAGCGCTTGAGGCAAAAGCCTGATATTATGCTTATCATTGACCGTGTTCTGATAGGCGATTGGCTTAACTCGAACCTATCATGAGTGTGTAGGAGGAAAAAGAGTGCGGCTGGTCCGGTTAGTAAACGATGAACCTGAGCGAAAGCCGAAATGCAACGCCCATTTTTGTCAAATATGGTTGTTGAAGCAGTAAACATGGTTGCGAAATCTTACCTACCGAACTCCCCTCCATGTCCAAGGGAGGTGAGCGCGCGTGTGGAACGGGTAGACGGGGTCTTTGTGGCGTGTTAGATACTGCATCCCCACCCGTACCAGTTAAAGCTAAGTTTGTCTTGTCTTTCGAGCGTGTTGAAGTAGAGCAGAGTAGAGCCGTGCCAGCCTCCCTAGCTCTGATTCACGTCCACTGCAAGTCCCCACTGTTTCCAAGGTAATAAATGTGTCAGCAAAGAGGACTCATAAAAGCGAACCGCCCCCTTTCTCTCTAATTCTTTCCCTCTTTGTCTTTCTTTCTTTAGCTGCACAGGGCCAAAGCAAATGCCATCTTTGCCCCTTTAGCCGACGCACAAGCAATCTCGTTCGTACGCATGTTGCCACCTGGCATAGTCGTGAGTTTGCCCTTCTCTTCTGCTATCACTTTGCTTTCAGTTAACATGCAAGCATTAAGACGTCTTCAAATAAATAAGACCTCTTAGAACTCGTCAATGAACATGCATCGGTCCCCAACGGAATTCACGCGTCCCGATCTGCCTTAGGACTCATTCTCGAGCCTCGCACGCAGCCGCAGTGCTGTCTAGGAAGATAGCAATCTTGGCAAAGACAAGGGAGACTGGAGTGTTAATTTCGGACTAATTATCCGCCAGAAATGGCAATTCCAGTCTTCCTCGTATTTACCGACAATTCTATTTAAAATCTCTTAGTTGAGGGGGTACTTCTGATTAGGAGGGAGGTGGGGAGGGGCATAACCTCGAGTGCGATGGCAGACTGGATGTTGGCTGAGGATCCTTTCAGCCACCTGCATCGGTTGCCGTCATGGCAGACAATGCAGGTTGTGGTACAGGTTTTTTCTCTGCCATTTTCGATGCTTGGATAAAGGCACTTGCATCTCCTCGAAGAAGGTGTAACAATTGGGCCAATATATTGTGCCTTCTTAACCTGGGTTGTCGGAGGGAACGAGTAGCGGAATGTTTTGCAGCGCAGATCCTTGAGGTTCTTACTTAACCTTGCATGTATACCCTCCTTAAAACACAACTTCCTGCCGAATAGATAGATAAATGAAACTTCAATGCAGTGTTTCTACGAACCATGCTTCCGTTTATACAATCACCAATACCAGTACAAACAATCCTACAGAGTTTGCTCATGCACTTTTGTGTCACGTGATTCAAATCCAGTGATTGACATGCGTGCATCTGCTGGGGTTGTTCCATCACGCTGATCACTAGTGCAAGTCTTCTCAGGTTAAATTTTTAAGTTTAGAAGAACATTTACTGAGTTAAGCCTATCCGTTCCACTGCAGAACTTCATATAGTGACGATTAAATTTGTTGTATCTTTTCCGCGTGCATTTACGTGGGTTTGTCCCCAACTCTTCACTCGTTTCCCCTTACTTCTCAAACACCACACAGCGACCATCGGAACTCAGTGCAGCCTCTGTCCTGAGGTGTTCTTCTGCGAGGAAGCTTTGATCGTGCATGAGCGACGCAAACACTCCAGTGGGTTTTTCGTATTGTTTGTTGCTTTTTGCTCGCCTACATATACGTCGCCATAGTACCATGACCGCCTTCTCCTTTGACAACCATGAAATGTTTTCTTGCTTGCATTCCCAGTAACCACGCGTTGCATGACAAATATATCACTCCCAAATAAATAGTATAGCAACCTTTAGTTAATAATTACTTTATTCTTAATCTGTCTCGAACTCCTTTACACGTCCGGCAACTCAGGCGAGTATTTTCTGCCTGAACGTTAGACCCACATCCTCGACTTGACTTTCTTAGCCTTAACGATAGTTAGAACGTCGATTTCGACGAATTCCATCGTGCGTGCTCCACAGGATGGCGGTGCCTGGACGATGACTAGCATGTAGATTAGTTTGAAATGGTAGTAGACTTAGTTCTTCTTGTCTATAGTGTCCCCCTTCTATCGATTGCTTTCATGACCCTACCACATACTTCTTGATCTAACCTCATCGATTCTTATAAGCGATCCCCGTCCAGATACATCCTTTCCCTGGATAGTTTTGTACCTTTCTTTTGTGACTTGTTTTTCCTTCCTTTCAGAACGCTCATTTTTCCAGTGTAATCGGTGTGCGGCCTATCTTCCATCTCGCTTCGCCTGCATAGTTCATTTCAGGACGGAACATAAGGGTGAGTCATTTGGTGGTCTGGTTTTTGCAGGTTGCTTAGTGTCAGCTCATATCCTTGGTGCACATAATTTTACGCAAATTCCCTCGCCTAGAAC